TTGGTGTTGAAGATCTCTGAAGCCCTAAGGAAGGCTGTACAAATTAAAGGTACAACCCAAATCCAGGACATGCACTCCTAGTTCTGTGTAAACAGATTCTAAGCTGAGCCTATGTAACTGATGTGCCCAGGACTTAATGGATCTCTCATACAGGAGAAACAGGACAGTATTTCCATGTTTGTTACACTTGTCTAGTTTTCCTAAGTCATTATAGGACCCTTTGATTTAAAATGTGTATGTATTTCTTGTACTCCTTGCTTTGGGTGTTAATTTATTTCCTGCATTGTATTGTCAGGTTGCTGTTGTCCCACTGCCTACCTGGGGTGCTCTGCTGCCATGTCTGCATCAGGCACATTAGGAAGTTGTTGGGAGCAGTAAACTCTCCTCCTGATCAATGATTTTTTTCATGTGAGTGATGGGAATGGTAGTGGGCTGCTGCTTCTTCTGACACCTGTGAAGGGAGGGCTTTGGAAGTGGATAACACTTTTATTCCCAGCTTCTGCCTTTAAATTATGAGTGTACAAAGAATATGGGTCTCAATATACTGATAGTTGTAGATGGGCAGTCCAAGAAATATTAGCAGAGTTCTGAGATATAGCAGAATGACATTGTGGCTCTGGGTTATTTAGGAAGTTGGGCAGGATCAGTTCTGGGTGTTGATAGATAGTTTATGGTTTGTGTATAGCAGCTTGGCTTCCTGGACTGATCCTTGTGACCAGTGTGATCTGGAGATATTCCTAGTGAGAAATTGAGTCCTGGCTCCTCTGTTGCAACCACAGGACAAGCTGGAGAATCTTTCTGCTTTTTCCAGCAGTTGAGAGCACTTTTCAGTTTATCACATGCGTGCAAGTAAAATTATTTTTTAAAAAGGTATAACCAAATAGATGTCAACTGCTGATGCAGCTCTTTAGTCTGAGTGCAAAAGAAAGCAGAGTGGTGCTGAGGCTGAGCTCCACATCTGGCTGTCAGGCTGCAGGAACACTGAATGCAAGGGGCTGGCCTAGAGGAGATGGGGAATTCAGACTGAGCCAAAGGCACTGGGATCACAGGGAAGGATGGAACACCAGGTGCAGGAGCAAGAGTGGTGTTTCCATGGGGTGATTCCAGCAAAAGGGCAGAGAGCTTAGGAGATAAAAGGTTAATTAGCCAGAGCTTGGGGTGTTGTTTGGTATGTGTCTTGTGTTGGGAACCAGCATCTTTAATGAAGCCTCTTCCTTTGGGATTTAAATACTGGGTTCAAATAACAGTCAGGACAATAAGTTTTGTTTCCCATGTCACATCAAACTGCAAATGGCAAGATATCCAAACAAATTGGCCGGTCACATTGTCAGGTGCAGAAGGCTGAGAACTGCCAGCCAAGTCTTTCCTGGGCTCTTTCTTTAATTTCTTAAAGTTGTTAGTGTGTATAAAGGTTCTGACTCAATAATTTCTGCTCTGGGCCCCTATGGACCAGCTTGTCTTCCATTTGGCTTAGGGAGCACTGAAGCAGATCTCAAGTGAGAAGCCTTTTTGTCCAGCAGCCTAGAAGCAAAGCAGTTTTCTCCTGTATGTTTTGTGCAGCTGAGGGCAGTCATGCACACTCCCAAATTTTTTAATTGTTTATTCTGTCCATTTTTCTGGCTCAGGCGCCATAATTGAGAGCTGGGTAGAGTATTGCATTTGCATTGCTGCCACGGATTTCTGTCTTGGTGCTGATGCTAAAAGGGTTGCACTTCTATATCAGCATGATACTTCAGTAATCAGTGTTTGCTTTTGCTTCACCAAAAAAACCTGGTGTTTTTCCAGCGCTAATAAAAGAAAGAGGAACTCATGAGCACTTTTAAGATACCTTTCTCTACCATAATGGGATTGCCTGTGAATTTAATGTCTTTCAAAACATTTATCAACAAAATGATGGTGCTTTTGTTATCAACTGCACACAAGCATATTTGGGAGACACACTGTTAGTACGTTCAAAACCACGAGGAAGTTCTCCAATTTTTTTTTTTTTTTTTTTTTTTTTTTTTTTTTTTTTTTGTGTGTGTGTGAATCTGTCCAGCTGAAGTGGATGGCAATTCTCATGAGTGTGAGCAAGATGAAATCAGTTCATTTCTGGTCAGATTAAAATAGTTGTTGTTAACTTTCTGGAAAGCATAGATAAATAAGAAACCTTTCTGTAAGAAACCTAGATATATGAGAATCCTCTGATATGGAGGCAGTGCCCACTTTGCCAAAGGTTTCTTGAAAGCAAGTTACCTCTGGACAAGAGGCATATCTGAGCTATTCAATTTTTTCACCAGCATTGTAAAATAGGGTGAAAATGTTGCCTATTCCAGAAGGAGCAGATTAGTGTGATTTTACCCATAATCTGCTGTCAGGTCACATATTATTATTTAGGTAAAAACATGACAATTTATTTTTTAATTTTTCAGGGTTTTCTCCTTTTCTGTGATATCTGTGAGTAAGTTCAGAGCCTTGCATTCTGCTTTTCATGTTATCTTCCAGATCAATTTTATCTCTGCTCAGATCCTGTTGGCATAGTGCTCTGTGCCCAAGTGTTAAGGTTTTTTTACTTGGCCCAGATAAATCGTTTATTTTTGTGGACATCAGATAAAGACCAATTATTTATATGATGTTTGCTTTATTTGGAAAGGCCCTTCTATTCCAGTCTGATGTAAAATTCATTGCTCTCATGACTGACTCAGTCTTTCCTTCCCCAAGCTGTATCCTCTATTTCTGAAGCAGGCTATGGACATTCTGCTCCCCTGGACATCCTTGTACACAATACTAGAAGATTATTCGCACTTAAAATTGGATGACACTTCATGGTTGGCTGACATGAGCACACGTCTGACATCTTATCTGGCCCAGCTTTAAAATGAAATTCCCAGTTGTAGCTGCCAAAATCTTAATAGGCTATATAGTATGCCTGCTGATGGCAGAGGTTATTTTCAAAGGGGTCTCGGATGGAGGGCTTGTTCTGTCTCCAGTCTTTGGGATTAGCAGCATTCATGGACATGTGTGATCAATTGCACACTCAATGTGAAGAGCCAGACTGAGGATTTCATTAAATCTGTAATCTGTTGTCATTTGGCTGCATATCTATGACTGCAAATAAGCAGCCATACAGTGGGGGTTTTTTTCCAAAAACTTACTTCCAGGCTAAGATCTATTTGAAGAAAAATAATTTTCCTGTCTAACATTTATTTGACTTCTTGTAAAGATGCATTTTGTGTATGGCTTAAGCCACTTGTATAATCCCCAAGAAACAGTTGTAGTGCCAGGGCTGACCCACCTATAGTACTGGTTCCAATCACCATGGGAATTTACTGACCTCTGCTTTCCTCCTCGTTTTTCAGCTGGTTTCTTATTCAACCTCTTGCTTAGTATATTCTTTCATGTCTTTGATGTTAAGCACTGCCCAACACCTTTGAGTATATTGAATTTTTGAGGGAATTTTAGAGATTGAAATAGTTATGCTGCCTTTATATTGCCTTTTGAATGCTCTGCTAACTTATTTGTTGTCCTAGTTAGTGCTTCATCCAATTCCCTGCCAGATGTTTTCTCAGACTTCATCCCCTAGGAGGTGCTTTGAGATAATTTCCCACTGTTGATGATTAATTGGCAAGTCTGTCATCTGTGTTTGTTCCTTAAATCCTTGTTTAAGCTACAGCAGGATGATGTGCTAGTTTTCTTTTTTGCCATAATGTAAAACTTGACAGCTGAGACACTCTCTATAAAGGAGGAGCTCTTCATCTAGTCTTTTTGTAATCAAAGCTTGGGAAAGAGCAGGGTAAAAAAAAAGCTTTCTGGAAAGAGAGGAAGTTGCAGCCTAAACCTGCTAAAACACAGGAGTGCACAATGCATTGCTTAAACTGTAAATCCCAGCAAATATCCTTTCAGAATTTGCTCTGGGATTGATGCTTGGCAGCAAATCATGGCTGAAGACAGGGCTATTTTTGGCCCAGTTAGGATTTCCCTTCATTTTGTAGCCAAGTGCAAAACCACCATCCAGCTGTATTGCTAGATATAGCACTGACCTTTTAACCTTATTGGACCACAGTTTGACTCTTAACTGAAATTGCACTATAATTACACCTCATGTCCCAATCTTGTCTGTCTCATGAAGCCAGTACAACACACTGGAACAATCTGTTCTCAAGCGATACAGAGCAGACTCTGAGGAACCACTGTCTCTCATCTCTGCTGGTGGTGGTGATTCCTCCAGGACACCATGGCTAAAGCTGCCATCGAAGGAGGTGTTAAGAGTGGGTGTAAGAGGGTGGTGAGGTTGTGGCTGTTTTCAAGGGAGTTGGCTCCCCCTCTTTGCTGACCATCCAAAGCATTCCCACGAAACAGAAGGAAAAGGTTATTGGAAAAAACTTTTTTGAGATCTCTCAGCAAGAGGAAGATACATCTGTAGAAATTGGAAGTTCCATCAAGTCTGCTGTGAAATTTGCACAGGTCTGCAGAGAAGTGTGCACTGTTTGTGTCAGTACACCTTGACACTGGCTTAAGGAGTAGAATATTTGTCCTGGCTGAATTTCAGTCCTGTAATATGAAAAGTACCACCTCCACTGACCTCTCAGTCACAGAATGGGTCAGGCTGGAAGGGACCACAGTGGGTCATCTGGTCCAGCCTTTCTGCTCAAGCAGAGTCATCTCAGAGCACATGGCACAGGATTGTGTCCAGGTAGCTCTTGAATATCTCCAGTGAGGGAGACTCCACAACCATTCAGGGCAATCTGCTTCAGTGCATGGTCACCTTCCTCCCTCTCAAAGGCATCCTAAAAGACAAAAGGAGGTTGTTACATGCTTGGCTAAATCTCTGAATCGGGCAATTAGAATATAAATATGCTGTTTGGTTTAGCATGTTTACTTTTGTTTCCTGTAATTCTGATGCTTTCCTGGTTGAAATAAAACTCAATTTACACCAAAAGGCTCAGTGAACTTTGTGCTAAGGAGTACAGTGATGTTTATATGGAGGATCACTTTAACGTTGTACCTTATGCTCTGCCTAGGAAGAAGGTGCAGAAAAGTTTTCTAACACTGTTTGCAGACCTGCCAGCAGGGAGTGGGAGAGACCTGTCTGAATTTGAAGAGCAGCGGTGAGTAGGATACTGCTTTCTACCTAACAAGACTAAGTGAGAAAAACATAGCTCCTCTGTGCAGCTGAAATATCTGCAAAAAAAATATACAGAAAATAGATGCTGTAGCAGCAAGCCAGTTTTGCAGTAGTTATTTGGCAGATGATGTATGCAAAAACTCAGGGCTATTATTCCTTCCAAACTCTTAAATGGTCTCAAGTAATGGGAAATCTGTCACTTTTTCCTGGACTCCTCCTTGGTCTAGGCACCATTTCTTCCCATCAATCTCCATTAACTTTCCTTTGGTCAGATTCATACAATTATACCTTCTCTGGCCTTTTTTTCTCTGAGTGCTCCTCTTTGCTTTATACATGTCTATGAGAGCTGTACAAACAGCCTGGACCTCTAGGATAGTTACCTGTCCCAAGAGGAATTTGCCAGTGCTGAAAATAGGCATTTTTATCATGATGGATGACCTTATGGAGACAAAGTGAAATGTGGAGTCTTGAGGACTTGCCTGTAAAGTTGGGTAATTGATTGCATATGAGGCAGGTTAATCACTGTCATAGTCTTGTGTGTTGAATGTACAAGGGGAAAGTTGCATGGTGGTTTGGGGCTGTCTAGAGGGGATATGCAGAGTTGAGAAGATGCTGTACACACAAGATCAATGTGGCTAAATGGAGAATGCTGCTTAAAACCTGGGAACACAGTGTAAATACTGTGCAGATCATGTCCTCAAACATCAACCTTCCCTCAAGATGGCATGGCACTGATAGGTAGATATTTGTCATTAGTGTTATTCTTGGGCAGTGTAAAGGAGCTATGCTGACCCCATACCTAAGGGTGGATACCTAAAACCAGGTAGAACTTGATGCTTCATTTCTCAGCATAACTGTGTTCTTTAGCTCTGTGTCTTGCTGTTTTGTCTGTAAACTGGGGGGTAATTTGCTGCCCTACCTTCACAGGAACTTATTAAATGTTGTGTTTGTGGGACACTGAGACTGAGGAGTGGTGAGCAGGATACATAAATGGAGGTGAAAGTAATAGCATTGTGCAGGCAGCAGGGCTTGGGAGCCCATGTTGAACCATCAAGAGGGAAGAAAGTTGTGGGGAGCTGTTAAATTAGTTTTACCTTTCCTGTGTGCTCATGCTTTGTGGAGCAATAATCCGTGACCTGTATTTTAATGCTGCCTACATTGGATGCTTTTCTCTGCTGTTCTAAGGGTGGTTTTGGCACTTCTTGATCATTTCAGCTCAAGTGGGGCTGGGTATATAAATGCTGTGTGATGAAGCATATGAGGAGGATACTGGGGAGCTGCGAGACATAGCTGATTCTCTGCACAGTGACTGTTCCAGGGATTTTTCCTCTTCAACTGGGCTGCACTAAGCCAAACTATCTGGGTGAACATAGGGACAAAGTGATAAAGAGTAAATCACTTAAGAAATGGCAAGCCCAGAATTATGGATGTTATTTCTGTCTAGTTAAATTGAGAAGCCTGATGGAGAACTGTTTTGTCTATTGATGGAAATTGTTTCCCTGATAAACTATTTGCAATTACCTGTTAATTGTCTTCCTTCAGCTCCTGTCATGCCATCTGGAAATCACCAAAGCCTGGCTATTAACAACTGGCTTCTCAGCTCAGCAGGAAGACTGGGCTTCTGATTTGCTAATCAGAGTATCAGGCAGTCACTGCTGCTCCTCTTGTCTGGGCTTGAAGTGTGAAATACAGCATGATCATGGTTGAGGGCAAGATTACTGCATGGGGCACTCCACATTTACCCTCCTGTCTTGAAGAACTGGCTGTAAACACAACTCAAGTGAAAAAAGCAGGGGTTGGTTTCTCCCCTTTTTCCAGACAGGATAATTTCTTCTTGGTATTGTCCAAGGTGCTTGGGAAATGTGCTTCTCTGCTCCTAGAGCAAGCTGATACTGAACTTCCACTTCATGCAGTTTGAAAGGTCCAGGTGGAGCTTTCCTATTAGGATGATTAATTTGTCTTGGATTTTCTTGTGTCTATGGAGAAGACATAGGAGTTCAGAGTTTTCAGTAGCTAAGAAAACCTCACAGCAAACAATTGCAAAGTCACACTGCAAACTTACACACTACTTTTCCTGGAGTTCTGTATGAGGCCAAGCAAATGAAAAATGTGAACTTTTTAAGACAAGATATTTGTAAGCTGTGCATTCCCAGGGAAAGCAAAGATGGCTTTTCCAAATGTGAGTGATTTGAAAGCCTTGTCTGATGGGCCACAAACATCCGCTAGAAAAGAATTTGGTAGGAGACCACACAGGATAAACCTCAGGCAGAAATCGTCTACTGGAAGGGAAAGGACTGAAAACTTAGGACCTCTGGTGGGAAAAAGAGTTAGAATTGTAACAGGATATTGTCTGCTCTTCCAGTGCCACAACAAAACTGACAGGAAGGAGTAATCCCCTCTGCCTTGCTCACTGCGTTGGGCAGGGACATCAAAGGCTGACCAGTGTTTAGCGTAACAGGCACACAGAAATCTTTCCTCTTAATTGGCATCGTGTCAGACTGGTTTCTTCCAAGGACACACAGATCATGTTGATGACCATTGAACAGGAAAACATTTTAAAAATCTTTATAACTTTTTTTTTAGTATGAAGCTAGGCATTTTACTTTTGTCAGAAACATTGCAAGTGTTTCACTGACAGGTTTATACAACTCAGATTTTGTTCAATGAAAAAATATTTAGTTGCAAATCTGGTGTGTATTTTAACTAAAAATTCATAAGGAAGATGAAGAACAAATGTGCTTTGCTCCTGACTAATATGAGCATTTGCAAAGAAAAAGGGACATTGTTAACCTTGCACTTCTACTAAAATGACTCAGCCACCTGGAGCTCAGTTTTTTCTCTAAAAGTAATTATTACTGGGGAATATAAAGGCTGCAGTTGTTGCCTTATTTTTATTTCCCTTCTAAATTTTGGGCAAATTTGTCTGGGACAAATTTTCAAGTTTTTTAAAATTTAACAATGACTGGAGACATAGAACAAAATTTGGTTCTCTCTTATGTGACCAGCACTCAGCCTGCTGTTCCATGCCCACAACCATGTCCACAGCAGCACCATGATCACAGTTTGCAAACCCATGACATCCTCACCCAGTTTCATGCAAACCCATGACATCTTCACCTCTGGAGTGTCCTTGCTGTGAAACTGTCCCTGTGTTGTGGCTGCCCAGTGTGGTAGGAGCTTCTTGGGTACTTTATTAGGTTTAATTTCAGCAAATGCTGAGACTAAATCAAAATCCAGGATTCCCACTTCCTTTTCTTCTCACTTTCCCTCTCCTGCATATTGATGAGATAGAATAAAAATCACAAGATTTGAGAATGTCAAATAATTTCTTCTCAAATTTGGTCTATGCTTCAGGGCTTTAGCTGAAGAATAGCTTTTTAGAAGAATAGTTTTTATCATTCTTCCCAAGGGTGAACTTCTAAACAAATAAATATTCTTCCACCAATGTTTACAATCAGAAGGGGCAGCCAGAAAATTTGCAAGCAGTGAAAAATAAATTGGTCAGTAAGTATCTTTGCCAACAGGGAAGTAGAGGAAAATAAACAGCATCTATTATGGAAGTATATTTTATTTGAAAGTTGTTGTCCAGTCCAGACTCTCAAAGACTTATCACCAGTGTTGAGGTGTCCTGGCTTATATCTTTGATTTATGTTTGAACTTGTTCACATTCATCCAAGTGTTGAGAAATGGCCAGTTTAGCAAACAAAGCCTTTTATTCATAGCTATACAGGATTCATATTGCAGTTTTGTGTACAGATAATTACATTGTGTATCTTGACACTATAATTTTTCATGTTTGTTAATAGTTGCTGTTTGCCAACAATTAGTGTCTTTCTGGGGACTTAACTGCAGGCAGTTGCTTTCTCTGTAATCATATTTGCTTCAGCGAAACAATTTTATTCTGATTTTGAGCATGTGAGACCACTGATTCATTCCAGGGGTCTGCCTTAAAGTTTTACTTTGAGTAGGTCTGTGTGATTTACATGGAATAATCAGGAAGAGAGCTCCAGCTCAAACAGTCCTGAATAATTAAAATATCATTGGGAGATCAAAGACATGGAACATGAATTAGTCCAGTAGGGTCTTTGGGGCTGCAGCTCAGCTACATTTGTGCCCTCCGCTGTCTAAGATGCTCAGCTCCTGCAGCACCAGCTCTGCATACCAGGTTTTGCTGGTCAGACAGTCTGTCATAGGTACAGATGTGAGAATTTCTCTTCAGACTTGGTGCCTGCCCCAGAAAGATCCATGAGGACAAGAGAATAAACCCAGTGAATGGCCTCAGTCTGGTAAAACAAGATTAGGCTCCTGGTCAGTTATTTTGCTCACAGTTCAGCCCCGTGGTGTTCAGTGTGTGCACTGCAACTTGTGATTCAAACAGGCATTTCTGTTGTTATGAGTGCCACTTACCTTCCAAGTGCCTTGCCAGTTTTATTAGCTCACAAGATCTTTGAGGTATGAGAAGCTTGTTTTTACAGACTGAATTTGTTTTTCTTTGCATGCTTCAGGTGAGGGGAGATCCCTTTAGCCCTGATGCAATGAAGAGTTGGTAATTTTGTATTATCTGCAATTATTATTTTCTACTTTTATTTAGATAAAATGTACTTTACTAAGAAGTTCAGTTCTCATCACTGCCAAGTGAGGGGTCCATGTTTCATTTCTTTCATAATATGTGGGGTAAAATTTCTTTTTGTCAAAGTATACAATGTTACATCTTTAAATTTAGTTTTGGAGGTGCTGTGTAGCTCATTATTCCCTTCTGGTGCCCAGAGATGCCTGGGTAGATTGTGGTAGTATCAGCAAGGAAGGGTGCAGACAAACCATGATGCTCTCAAGCAAGAGGTTGAGATGTCTATCTAGATGGGGTGGAGGAGGTAGCTGCTAAGCCAGGCCAGGCTCCCTTGTGTTCAAGGGGTCTCAAGAAAAAACTGCATGGCTCCCATTAGTCAGTGCACAGGGAAAGTGAATCCTTGTGACCATGGGGCC